CTCCTACGTGAACGAGGGCACCGCTGTGAAGCCCAAGCCCGGCTACGTGGCCACCGAGCCCGGCAGCCGGCTGCAGCTGGCGGTGAACACGGACCGCTCGGCGGTGGGCAGTCCGGCGGGGGAGAAGGTGCACGTGTACGTGCACCACCTGAGGAGCTACGAACACATGGGGGTGGCGGAAGTGAGGTGAGGTGAAGAGGAGGTGGGGCGGGAGGGGGGGCCAGGAGGGGGGCCAGGAGGCAGTACAGGAAACGGAGAGGGGGGGAGGTTTAAGACGAGCCACCGGCGAACGGAGCAGATACCAAAGATAGACGAGTAGTCCAGGAGGGGGGGAGGAAGGGGGAGAGTAGCAGGAGCAGTCGGAGTGGCCGGGAACAGAGGAGGGGGAGGGAGGGGAAGGGGAGGGAGCGTGGGAAAAAGGAATCTTCGACAACCTGATATTCCCAAACCAAACCCGTGCCGCCCTCCACGGGCATCCTCTAGAGGCTTCCTCCAGGAATCGTTTCATTATTTTCGACCCTAACCGTCGGGAATTTAAACTTTCTGCTGGCTCGACCCATAGCCCATATTGCCCGTATAAGGAGCTGCTTCCCTATCCCGGCGTTGTCGTCACCCAAGGGCGGTGCAGCTGGTTCGTACAGCTGGTCCGTACAGCTCCAGTTTTGCGTGTTCCCCACCTCTCCCGCCTCAACCTGACTTGCCGCCCCGCCGGCACTTCGTTCCCCCTCCCTCCCATCCCCCTTTCGCTCAGGACATTGGAAGGTGATTTCCTGCGTCATCATCATCATCATCATCCTGTGATCTCCGCTTTCCTTTCCCTCCCCCTTTCCCCCCTCTCCCCCTCCTTCCTTCCCGTCTCAGCTGCATATCGGGCTGCAGCTGCGACCCCACGGAGGTGGATGCTCTGATCCAAGAAGAGGTGTCCCAGGTGTATTTGGTGGGACTGGTGGTGTCGCAGTCCACGGAATGCGTCATCGAAGTCCTGGTAGGTTTGATGGTTTTGAGCTGGTTGGCGGGGGAGAGAGGGTGAAAGGGTGGCTTTAGGAGTGGCTGCTTCTGGTTGACTGTCTCGCAATGGAGTGGGGCTGGCTGGCTACGGCGGGCGGGCATTGCCTGACTGACAGGATGTGTGTCGGGGGGAGGGGGGGAGGGAGGGAGGGTCGGGTGGCACTGGGCAATCTCCAGTCCCCCAACCACTGGAGTGGGGGCCGGCAGCTCATTTCTTCAAATGCTTCTTGCATCATTTGATTTCTCCCCCCTCCCCAGAGTGGATAATGTATTTTTGTGTACGACTAAGCTAGCTGAGTGACTGAGTGAGTTTAGGTAGGCAGGTAGGTGGGTAGATGACGGCATTTGCAACTCCTCCATGGGAAGGAGCGCCATTGCCGCCTCCGTCGCGAATAATATCCCTCTTTGTGACCTGTGTATTGCAGGTGTTGAATCGGACCAGTAGCGGCGAGCATAAGTTCAAGGTGGGTTTAGGGAGGGCTCAGTGTTAGCGGAACTGCTGTGTGCCACGCACATGCACACCCACGGACAGGCGCTGACGAAAGGGGCCAGCACTTCCGGTGGTTTTCTAGGTCCCACGAATACTGTATGTATGTATGTATGTTGAGTCCTTGCTGTGTGTCCTACCAGGTTGCCACGGCCCCCTTCTTGTCCTGATACTGCTGCTGCTGCTGCTGCTAGCCTACGTGCCCTACAGTGTCTTGTTGTTCTTTGGCTGCTGTTGCTTACTGCTGTTGCTGTTACCCGCACCATCATGCAAACAAAGTGGCGTTGTTGCATGACACCATTGCCGCTCACAATGCTGCTGGCGGTTGTCGTGTTGTTGTTATTGATATTGTTGTTGATGTTCATGATTTTATGCTGTTGCTGTCGGGGGCCCTCATCAGGTATCGGGTGTGGTGGTGGCGGAGACGGCGGGCAAGCAGAAAGGCATCGCAGGCCTCGACGCCGCACATGACCAACACTTTGGGCTGCGCCAACACCTGGATGAAAACGAAGGCGTGGAGGTGGTGAGTCTTTTCCAAGTTAAGCCATCGCGGCTTTTGTGTATTGCTAGCACAGTCATGCACAATGGATCTGCAGTTGATGAGCATTGTTGACTTCTTGATGTGAGGTGCGGGGTAATGCGTCTCTTGCTGTTGCAGGTGACCTTGACCTCAGCTCAGATGCGAACGGCAGACCGATGACTACATATAGATGAGCGACTGCTTTTGTCAACAGTAGACGGTCGATCACCGCTAGCAGCGATGATCAGACTTTTGGAAGCCAGATAGTCAGCGCTCTCCTGCCGGGCTTCTTCCGTAGACTGTCACCTGGATAATGCACGTGCCCCATGCTCTTCGTGAAGCGGCAATCGGAGCGATAATGCCTTTTAGGCATGTGGACCATGCCGTGCACACGGTCACCTTGCGCTGCCTTGACATAATGCGACATGGTGTGTCACGTCATGTCATACCATGTCATGCATTAACGGGGTTGCATCGACCCAATGCATAACCCAAACCGTGTCGACTCGCTGCCGATGGCATCTTGGCCGAGGTCTACAAATGTGATGCCGTACTTCTCCTTGCCTTCGCCACGTCTGATATCTTTATTTGGCTGGCAGCGATGGAGCGTGTGAAATCTGTTATTCTTTTGTTTGAGTGTACACGCATGACCACTACAGGAGAACCCTCTGACCTATGGGACGGCTGAGAATATAGCTATGCAAGCATGCGTGAGCATCAACTGCTCAAGGGCGGCATCTTCTTTCGGGAAGAGGGCACGGGGCCAATGGAGCCCGTTCCAGCGGTAGACAGACTCCCCGCAAACTAGTTTTACACGACAGTTCGAATTATTTTTGGACGTGGCTCACGAGCTTTCGAGCACTGGCTGGCCCGAGTGCTTCTGTAGGGTGGGGGACTATATGCTTCATATTGAGCTGAGTGAAATGATATCGACAACTCGTGCCAGGAGGGCACCTGTTATTTTGTTTGGACTGTGGAGTGTGGGGAGGCGCGGGGTTAAGTCCTGGCTGGGACCAGGAGGCGCGCCGGCGGGGCCATCATCGGCGTTCGTATGGTGTGAGGGTTTTCAGTCAGGATAGCACCATTCGTCCTTAGCCCTGCCCTGCCCTGTACGGTAGGCTACTCGCCATATGTATGGTATGTGGTTTATTTATATTTTTTATGTGGTTTACTCGATGTCATTTCTCCGTCTCCTGAAAGCGGGAGTATTGAGTTAATCATACAACGTTACCCATTTTTATACGCCTGAGCGTTAGCCCGTGGGTAAATCGTTCGGACGCAATGGCATACAGAGCGAGGCTGACATTTATACTTTGGAAAGTGGAGGGTTAGACATCTGTAAGAATAAGCCCAGTGGTGCCACACTGACAGATGCACCCCAGCAGCCATAAACGCGTTTGCTTGCTATGCGGAGATGAGGGATATACATGATACACAGTTGTGTATGCGCTTCGAATTCCCGACAAGAATTACAGTCATACAGTCCTACACTCCTTTCTCCTTACACTGCCTTTGTCTGCAGTGGCGGCAGATCCAAACGCCCATGTCCGATGTGAAGAAGGGACTCACCTAAGCGGCGAGGTTAGATACCTGTATCGCAGGTATGCCACCTGCTCCCCTCTGAAATCTCCATTCTGAAAACCATTCTGCGCTCAGTAAGCGGTGCTCTCCCCCCCCCCCGGGCCCAGCGCCGTACACCCACCAACCCATTCTAGGTAGCTCTTTAGGGAATCACCTCGTGGATAGCACCCGACCCTATCCAAGCACGTCAGGCCGCTGCATAATCCAATAGCAAAATGCGATAGCGAACGGGTCGTGTTCCCGCCGTTCACTTGGCCTGTGCAGTTGGCTGCACGGCCCGTCAGGCCGTTTTGGGACGTCAATCACTCCACCTCAAGCCATCACCATTTCCCCCTTCCTCTGTGTGAAACAGGGGGGTATATCTTCACCCGTGGCAGCTACCCTGCGAAGCCCTGCTTTCCCCGGTATTTCGGGGCACCCTCATCCAGTCACACTAGTCAACTTCTCAGTGGATTGCTCAGGTTCCGCACCCACCACCAGCATCCAACAGAATCTGCCGGGTCGACAGCGGCCCAACTCCATTCCCGGTCGGCTCGCAGGTTAACTTTATCCCAGGTCACCACCGTCCATCAACTAGGGGCACAATACCTTCCACCATCGGAAGGATTTTGGGGCAATGGTCGTGCGCTACCGGGGGCAATGGTCGTGCGCTACCGGGGGCAATGGTCGTGCGCTACCGGGGGCAATGGTCGTGCGCTACCAGTAGTGCCTAACCCTAGGTGTGATAAAAGACTCACCCTGAAAAAGACTCACACGTGGCGCCCGGACGTGCTCTCTGTACTCCCGGCGGTCGGTGCGCTGCTCCGGCTGCACTCTACCAGCCACGCCACGCCACGCCGCGGCACGGCATCCCGTAATACCCTTGTGGACATCCTCTTATGGCTCTGCCTCGGTTATCGTTAGGGCGCCTGACCGCAGCCAGCCATGTATACCCCTCCCACTCCCACTCCCACCCACGCTTGATAAAACAGTAGGTTTCACCACCCCCATCCACCTGGCTGGGGTCCCTTCACACTCAGGGAGACCTCTCAAATGATGCATGAGAGAGATACGCTGACCGTTATAAATTAAAAACGCCTGGAGCGACCGTTACCGTTATGCCGCATCATCAACCGTCGCCCTGGGACCCTGGTCTTGCGACGCGTGTATGATGGATGGAATGGCGCATCACCACGTGCGTGGTCCTGCATGCTGATGTACTTCTACATCAGGAGGAAGGTCATATGCGGGACTGGGGTGGCAATTCTGGCGCCATGGCAGAAGCACAAACAGCGGGGCAACGAAAACGGCAGCAGCAGGAAATGATAATGGTAACAGGAAAAGTCCGAGGCTGCCGGGCCCTTGCTCATTTCCTGTATAGCCCTCCGTCAGTGCTCTGGTTGTCCGTCCCCGCCTGTGCGGCCAGCCTTGGTCAACACCACCTGCGACAACAGGCGGCCACGAGAGAAAGGAAATGGAGGGGGGAAGGGAGGAAGTCCGCACCAAAGTTGTAACGGCGGCAAATGTGAAGGAACCGCCTCCAACGGAACAGATACAGCGGCTGTTCGAGGGCTTTACCTCGATGTGTTTTATGGGATATGCAATGCAGATGATGAAAAGGGCCTATCACCTAATTAAAGTACGTTATTTACAAACATGTGTACATGAAAACACCAATATGTGCTTCTTGTTGTGTACTTCTACAGGAAATATATCACCGTGAGGGAGTAAGCTGGTATGAAGTGCGGGCTGCTGCTGACCCTCAGTTCCGTCTCATTCAGTCCCTGTGCCCCCTCTACCTGGGTCGCATCGCCGTTGTGCTGCCGAAGCCCGAACGGCTGGTTGTCACCGCCCAGCCGCTCCATGATGTCGCTCCCACCCGCCTTCTCAGCCAGCACGAGACCCGAAACCTGCGCAGTAGTGGTAGTGGTGGCCCCGGGGCAGGGAGAACCGCATATGTCTGTACAGAGCCCAGTTTTCATGAGACACACACACACACACAAATTGCGCACAAACGGCGTGCGGCTCTCCTATATAATGTACATCCCCCGATTGCCGCATACTCGCAAGAACACAGGGCGCATAAACACACGCACATGCACATGTACAAGTGCAGTACACAACGAATGACAAGCGGCTGCCGACACGGTCGCGGCTCAATCCCCTAAACCCGTCATAATAATGAAAGCAACGTGCCCTCTTCCAACAAAGGCATGCGACTAACGCTTTGTCTGCTTGCTCGTTTGAGAAGAGCAACGATGCGAAGAGAATGAAGGGAAAGGAAAACAATGCCATGGAGGCGAGAAACTCGAGCAGTATCGCTAGCGAGCAAGCTCAACTACCGGGAGGAAAAGCTCCTGGATGAAACCCAACTACCTATCTGTCTGACCACCCCGCTCCCCCAAACACCCACCCACCTTGAATTTGTGCTCGCCGCTGCTTGTCTTGTCGGTTACCTGCAGCGTACGGCAATATACGGCAATGAACTTGTAGCACACGCTGAGAACAACAAGACCTCCAGCATAGGGCTGGGACAACTGATTGAATTGCTTGACCATCTCCCCCCGTGGCCCCGTACCCAGCAGCCCCTCCGCGAGCTACTCGTGAAGCCAGCAGCGCTCGACTCCGCGCAACCCGCGTCCACAAGAGCTTTTCATCAGACCTCACCCACCTTGACTTCAAGGACACATTCCCGGGACTGTGATACCACCAGCCGAGACATATACACTTGGGACACCCTCTCTTTGATGTGGGCATCAATCTCAACCGGGTCACAGCTGCAACCGGATACGCAGCTGTGGCGGTGAAGCGGGAGACAGCGAGGAGCGGGGAGCGGGGAGAGGAGAACGGGGCGACAGGGTGTGGTGTTTTCTACAAGGCAAGGCGAGATATTAACATGGGTTGCGAGTGGAATTAAATTATTATTCATGATGGTGCTTCCCACTCGTTCCTTCCTCCCGCTCCGTTTCCTGTCTTGGCCCCTGCCCCCTCCCGCCCCACCTCCTCTTCACCTCACCTCACTTCCGCCACCCCCATGTGTTCGTAGCTCCTCAGGTGGTGCACGTACACGTGCACCTTCTCCCCCGCCGGACTGCCCACCGCCGAGCGGTCCGTGTTCACCGCCAGCTGCAGCCGGCTGCCGGGCTCGGTGGCCACGTAGCCGGGCTTGGGCTTCACAGCGGTGCCCTCGTTCACGTAGGTGAAACCCGAGGAGGAGACCACCAGGCGCCTGAGGAGGGGGGGGGAGGGGAGGGGGAGGGGAGGGGGAGGGGAGGGGGAGGGGGAAGGGGAGGGGGGAGGGGGAAAGGGGGAGGCGGAGGGGACATGGCAAGGTATATGGAGAGATTTACCCGCTACCAGCACCCCTGGTGTCCTAAGTTGGCGGAACCTCAGGATGTTCCCCTTCCTCCTCTCGGGCCCCCCCCCACCGCCCCACCTGAATGCGGCTCCCACCAGACACATGGGGCTGCTGGGGGCAGTGTTGCCTGCGGTACGTTGATAGGTCGGGTCAGGTCGCGTCAGGTCAGGGCACGGCTCGTGCGGAAAAGAGCTTTTCGAGGTGCGGAGGTCGCGGCATGTAAGGAAGTTGTGTTAGTTGAGAGATGAACGAGGTCGGTGTTAACATGGTCATACGACAATGTGACCAAGTGCACACCGACAACACAAAAGCAAGTTTTCCCGTACACATTCCCTGTGCACATTATTATAAACCCTCCGTACACGTTCCGTACATTCTCCGTGCACACTCACCCAAGTACATGGGCTCCGGAAGTTGCTCGTTGGCGGCCTCGGCATCGGCAGAACTGTACGGCTCCATCAACAATCCCAGAGTCACTCGCTGGATCAGATGTACGGCAAGATCAGCCATGATCTTATGGCCGTGATCCCCCGGGTGGACGTCTGGTTGGGTTCGGTTGAATTCGGTTGGGGCAGTGGATGTAGAGCAAAACATCGCAATAACGCAGGGAGGAGAAAGAAAAATTGAAATGGAAAAATGGAAAGCCGCCGCGAGGGTAGGGACAAGAAGTTGAAAGCATAGGCCAAATAGCGAAGAAAACTTTGGAATGCTCCCCCAGGGGCGCGTCCATACACGAGGGTTCCATTATGCGGCTCCAATGACGGTGTCCTGGCTGTGGGAGCTCTACTATAATACTGTTGGCATTCAAAGGGCCTTTCCGTTAAGAAGACCTCTCTGGATTGCCCCATGCCCCATCTCCGATATCTGGTGGTGGTGGTGGTGGTGTTACAGGGTGTTATAGCTGTCTGGTGTTGTGTCCTTACTAAACAAGAACGCCCTCTTAGCCACAAGCGACCTACTTCGCCGCCGTATTGATTGGCTTCAATTATTATTAACTACTAGTATGCGCCATAACTCAGCAGCGAGCTCAGCAGCAGCGCTTCCTGGCTCCGTATTTCGAGACTCTCCACTGTTCTATTCCCTTCGCTTCCAAACCCCCGAATCCAAAGCCCTGGATTCATATCACCTGCGCGCCCCCATTCCAAAACGTGTCAATTTCCGTTGAGAGAAAATAACCCAGCATAATCCACTACCTGGATTTGGAAATGGAAGTACAACGCAGCGATATCGATGGACCCATCAACACATCCACTCACCCACATAGGCGTCCTCCCATAAGAAGTTCGGCGTGCTCTTGAATACGGCCAGGCGGTACAGTGCCGTACGCAGCGACAGGTACTGTACGTCATAATACTGTGAGAGCGCACCTGTACGGAGGTAGAAGACCAGGCATGTGAGGTGAATAAAACGTCCCAGTATCAGGCACAATAAAAAGTTAAGTCAGGCAACCCACCACCACCACCACCATATCAGCAGCAATCTACGACATGTCCTGGCCCCCCGGGGTAGCCAATCCCTCACCCCCCCTACAGACACATACCCCACACACATATAACCCCACATACACAGGTACAATTGCGGCTCCCACCTTGCGCGTCTTCTGTGGTCTCGTAAAAGCGCCTACTGAGTGAGGTTAGGTGGGGTAGGATGGATTAGAGGTGAGGTGGGGTGTTGTGAGGTGGGGGCCCGCCATGATATGACGGTGCAAACTGAAAAGAACTAACGGGAACTGACCACACAATGCGTGTTTTGCAGTTTGTTCAGCTGGACCTGATCAAATCGAAACACTGACTGCGATAGTGATGATGGTGAGGTGGTAGTGGTGATAGTGATAGTGACAACGATGGCGAGGCATAGAAAGTGGAGAAACGTCTACAGCTAACCAACCTAATTTTCGGATCATCGTAGCGGAGCTGCATGGGACGCAAGGGCCCCTCCCCCTCCCCCTCCCCCTGCCCCTGCCCCTGCCCCTGCCCCTGTCCCTGTCCCTGTCCCTGTCCCTGCCTACCCCTCCTGGACTTACAAGTACGAATCATTGTCGGGGTTCTTGGGATGGCCATTCGGGTAGTTGGCCATTCCAAAGGTAGGCACGTGCATGAAGACAACGGCTGGGCGGTTAGGTAGGTTCATGACCCGCCGTACTAACCGCTCCATATCCATCACAATGCGGTTGTTAAACAGCATGGGGTCCCAACCGTCACTGAGGTGGCGGCAGCGGCGACAGGGTGGTGGTGGTGGTAGCAGCAGTAGCAGGGCAGCAGTAGCGGGGCAGCAGTAGCGGGGCAGCAGTAGCGGGAAGTGGGCTGAGAGGGGAGGAGAGGTCTCTGGAAGGGGTGAATGCTGAATAACGGTGTGACCTCGCGGTGGCTTATTTAGGACCGTGGAAGGAGGTTAAATAGACGGGGGACTGGGGTCTTCACCTGGTTCGGACATTCCTCCTCGCCCACAACCCTACATCCCCTCCTCAACCGCGTTCCTCCTCCTTTCTCCTCCTCCAGTAGTCTTACCTCTTATATCTGTGTCGCCAATTTTCCCTTTCCAAATCCTTTCCTTCCACATTGGGATGGTTCCTACCACACCGCCCAGATTCCTTCTCCCTCCAATCCCCCTCCCCCCTCGCCCTCTCTCCCCCCACTCACTTGAGCGTGTACTCCATGAACACGAGATCCACATCTGGATCCACGGACAGCTCCAAGCACATGATCATGTACGGCGTGGGAACACCCGGGGTGCAGCCGTTACGAGCGGTGATGTTGGCGCGGGGGAACGCAGATATCTGGGGGGGTGGGTGGGGGGAATGTGGGTGTAGGGAGTGAAGGACGATTTTGTGTTCTCCTTTGGGGGAGAGGAGGGAAGGAGGGACAGGGGGGAAAGCAGGACTGCACGGAGGGACCGGGGTTCCTGAACCTAACAACAGGCTATCAGCCTCCCACTCGGGACATGCCGCCGTCCCCACTGCCGATGCAGGATTAACTCTTACATAACAGCGCTACATAGCGCAAATAGCACTATCACCATCCCCCTGTGTCGCAGGCCCCTCCCCGCCACCAACACACCTACCATCCAACTCGCAAAAACGCTGAACCAATCAGTGACGCCCCGCTTGGAGGTGCCCTGGCCCCAGCTTATGCTGCAAACAGTCACCGTAAGGTGAGGGATTGTATGCAAAAAAAAGAGGGACCGTACGCACAAAAAAACAAAGATTCAACTGCGTCGCAGTGGGGAAGACAAGCAAAGTGGAGAAGGCAGCGTACACCGACACTCACCATTCAACATTCACTACGAAAGCTGCATGAGCGCGGTATGAGCCGGACGAGAGGAGCCGGAGGAGAGCTTACGTTCTCCCTTAAAAATCAGAAGTAATTCTTGAGGAGGTTTCTGGAAATTTTAAGAAGTATCCTCTGGTGCAAATACCCATTTGCTCTAGTTTAATTAACAAAAATCCTCCGGAGTGTTTCCCGATTAAATCCGAATTTGTTGCGGGGAAAGGACACACACAGCCAACCTCCCGGCCCTACACAACGCGATGGATCGGTAGCAGGTATTCCACATCCGACACGACGGGCTTCTCTCACCCGGAAGCTCCGGAGGCCCCGGAGGTGTACCGAGGCCTCCTCCTTCCCCCCTGTAGTAATCCCGCTAAGGACCACTAGCCCATTTGGGTCAGAGGTCTCTGCGAATCCTGAGGCGGGTCTTCACAGTACAAAGGACGACAAGAAATGCCGCTCCAGTAGGGTACTGAGATACCGTTCTCGTGCTCCGATCCGCTATCTCAACCTCGCCAGCGGCCATAGCCTCCCTTCTCTGTCTACCAACAGGCGTCCCATCCCCCACCCCTGTCCCTGTCCCGCAGCCCGGGCAGCCCTGGTAGCCCAGAAGCGGACCTGCCGCCGATTACCGCAATCTTGAAATCCTTTCGGTCACGTGGGTTGAGCATCTCCCGCACCACCCGCCTTAATCGGGCGCTGGACCCGACGTAAGCTGTTCCGCGTTTTAGCTACCGTGTCGTTCAGCCATGAGGTCGCAGTGCAGAGGGAAGGCGAGACAAGACAAGGCGAAAGTGAAGACAAAGATAAGCAAATCAGGAGTGCGGGGCGCAGGGAGAAATGAGGGAAGCAGAAGGCCGGCGGTTGAAGGTAGGAAGACGGGAGACTGGAATCGACAGCCAAGTTTGAAACATATGTCATGGGCGGTACCTGCCAATAGGCCAGGTTGTGAGAAGGCACTGACTGGGGAAGAACCGGGCCGATGGGCTGCAAGTGGCTTGCGTCGTGGTACTTCGGGAATGTGGACGTGGTCGAGCGGTGGGACCACTGGGCACCGGCACGCACTTCTCCCCCGCTCGGCCCTCGTACAAAGGAAGACAGCTTACTATATGGCTTTTTGGTAAGGGTGGGGACGTGCGCAAACGCCACCGACACCTAGTATGTCGTGTAACCCGAAGAGTACCTGTGTGCGAGGCAAAGTAAACTTGTAATTTCCCAAAACGTTCGAAAGAAGCATGCTGATCGGCTGTTTATCAATCTCAATATTGCTCCAAGTATGGCCCCAGTCCCAATCCAGCTCCGGTCGGTTTCTTGTTCGCATCCAGAAGTCTTGGCCAAACCAACGTTCGCTCAAGGGCCAAGCGCCATCGGTGCACAAACATATTACCAAGATAACTGGCCATTTCGACCAACTGTGCCAGCGATTCATTCTATACCGATGATGCCAAGTCAAAAGTCCATGTAAATTAAGCTTGGCTACCTAAGCCATCATCCTTCATCATGATGTGACTAAAAAGCTATAACTCTGTCATCATTTTTGATGTGACCCTGTTGCAGCTCAATGGGGAAAGCCTGAACCGTACCAGACGCCGTACAGGACCATCGTGTCGGACTGACAGCTTTGAGTCATCCACAATGCATCCGAAACCTACCAGCCCGACATGCCCATAGGTGGGAGGGCACTTTGCAGCATTTCATGATGGCTGATACGCAACAAACGCAACAGCTCAGGGCGTAACATTAGGGCGTACTAGAATTCCATTGTACGAAAACCACAAGTACTGGCCCTACGGCCCACGGCTTCAACAAAGGGAACTCCACGGCACAGGGGAGGCAGGAAATGGGAGATGATTTGCACAGCCCGGCAACACCGTACACGCGTACAGAAAAGCACGTTGCGGGAGGTCTGGGACCCTGGAATCGGCCGCTCCTGCATGAATACCTTTAAATGTTTCATGGAGACATCTTAATCGTTGGAGGCTGGCACGTTGGCACAGGCCACGCCGCCCCAAGGGTCCCAGAGCGAGCTTTCCTAGACGTGTTGGGGCCCCTTATTACCGTATGAGAGGAGAGGCGACGGTGGCCCCTAACTATCGACCGGTTATATGATGGAAAGTCTTAATTCCCATCCTGCTTCGTTGAAATCGTTGTTTGCAGGGCATGCTTCGTTGTCGTACGCCCTGTCCAAGCTTGTACACCTATGGCAAGTTTTTTGACGGGTTGCAGGAATTGACTCCAACGTCGAGCTGCTCGCGCTGCCTGCACTGCAGACAACGCCGTGGCGAAACGCCGTGGGCATCAGGAAGTACAGGATTTGTAGCTGGCCCGCTCTGCTCATAGGAAAGTCTCGCCTATTTGCTTGGGTTCGGGACATGCTAGTTGTTCTAGGAGATAGTCAGCATAACCCACACTAGGTGGGGCTGGCAAGGTGCGCATGTACAGCCTCTGAAAGAAACATGACCACCAGTTCTACCCTTTTTATTGCGTTTGCATTTCTATACATTACTGGACAGCAGTTCTAGGATACTCCATTTGAGACTGGCTTGTGGCATCCCTTTGAAAGCTGAATTTTCGCTGGGTACGGGATGGACGAGCGATTATATTGGCCCAGACGAATCACACCCATGATCCTGTCTTATTTCTCTTAGGTTCATAGGTGCAATTGTGGGGCCCATACCTCGTTAATCCTGCCTAATTGAGAGGGCTACACAAAATGCAGGTGGGCCGTCTTTTTGTTGCCGCGGCAACTATTGAAAGGTGATTGGTTTGCTCAGCCATTCTCGCTTCTATCCAGGTGACCACGCGTGCCCTGCGCTCTTCGGTGCGCCCTTTTACTCCGGCCTCGGTGCGGGCTCCCCGGGCGCTTGTGGTCTCAGTGTCAGCGTCGGAGCGCCTCCGCCTCCACAACCTCAGCCCTGAGCCTGGCAGCCGTCGCGATGAGAAGCGGAAAGGCCGTGGTCATGCTGCGGGTCAGGTATGTTCCAGCATTTGCGGCGCAAGTCGATTTTGAGGCGTAATGGGGCCCGCCTGCTAAACGTCATGAAATTGTAATGGAATTGTAGGGTGGCACCTGCGGTTTCGGTAACCGCGGCCAGAAGTCGCGGTCGGGGCCCAGCGTGCGGCCAGGCTTTGAGGGTGGCCAGACGCCTCTTTACCGCCGCCTGCCCAAGCTCCGCGGTATTGCCGGCGGTAGGTAACATGTTTTCATGATTTGTTTTACAGGATGACAATTGCAAAGGAATCGGGTACCGTTCTCCGGTTTCCATGTAACGTTGTCTCTCTGTTGTTCATGGGGCATCCGCTGACGAGGAGGAACTCAATGGATTCTTCCATAATAGAGTGGACAATTAACGTAGTCGAGCTTGCAGTGCGTGGTGAAAGCGCGCTGCCTCATTATGTTTGCGTTCGCAGTCGCGCGATGGATATGGAAGTTTGAAGGCCAATATATTGTCACCTTTGGCTTTAATTATCTTGTTACACGTTTTGGACAGGACATGGTGCATTTCTGCTCCCCCGGCACGGCTGCTAACTCCCCTCCCCGATGCCTCCCTCACCAGGCATGTCGGCCGGTGTGCCGGACTTCGTTGTGGTGAATCTGGATGACCTAGAGAAGCACTTCGCCGCTGGCGAGGCAGTAACCCTGGAGGCCGTGAAGGAGAAGGTGCTTAGCGTGAGCGGGAGCGACTCCCGGCTACCACTCAAGGTAAAGATGTGCCTTGTCTGTTTCGAAAAGGGTGCAGGCATGGTGAACCAATTGTTCACGGCTGGGGTCTCAACTCTGTGTCATGGCGCGTGCCACTGACCTCTACAATGCCAGGATGTGTACGCATGGAGGTAAAGAGTGAGGGTAAATAGGTAAAAAGGCTCCGGTCAGGTCTCTGAGGCTAGGTTGAAGTGACGGATTCGATGCAGAACATGCCCGCTCTGTCTGTCAACCGCACACTTACTTGGCAGCACTTGGCGAGGTTTGGGACATGCGGGAGATGCGATAGTTTGGATGATGCAGGGAGATGCGTTACCATTTTACATGGCATGCGACCTACTGCCTGTCTTTCGGGATGTGCTGCTCGCTTACATTGGACATGAAGGCCAAAGTTGGGCATAGCTAAGCATCATGTGGACTGCAACGGTTTTTAGTTGCCATTGTCGCTTTTAGTCGCCATTAGTCGCCATTTCAGCCCCCGTCGCCAATGCACCAAGCTTAGCACTTGGGTACAGCCTGACTGAGTTGATATCGTGGCCCGCAAGAAATGAATTCATGAGCCCTTCCGATACGCGTGGGCCTGCGCCGCAGAAATATCCAAGGAGTATCCCCGATTATACCGAGAAATATCCGAATAGTAGAAGGCTGTAAGACGAAACATATAGATTGAAGCCTTATGACGTACACATGCGGGCCTGCTCGTGGCGCCTAGTTTGCAACTTGCACCTGTGGGGTATCGCACCGTGGCGGTGTTATTCTGCTCCACGCCACTAAATCGCGTACCACACGTGGCAGAAGTCTTCCTCCGACCCACATGGGTGACATTCTTATTATGGCAGTCTTGTCCGCTGCGCTCGTATGTGTCCATCCAAGCTTCTACAGTCCACGTGTGGATAGCTTATGCTATCGCCGACTCAATTGAGAGCACTCCGCATTTTTTGATTTTACTTTAAAATGTAATGGATGCTGTGTATGTGAATACGTTAACATCGATGGTATGGTCTGCAGGTTTTGGGCAGTGGCTCTCTGTCCAAGGCGCTGACCGTCCACGCTGCTGCGTTTTCGGAGTCGGCCAAGACTGCCATTGAAGCGGCTGGTGGCAAGGCTGAGGTGGTGGCCAGCAAGGCCAAGTGGACGCGGAAGGCGTTCAAGAAGCTTGTATCTGATATGGCGGCCAACGGCCAGGACTACGAGAAGGAGAAGCTCAAGAAGCGGATTGATAACCTGAAGGCTAAGGGGATGTACGTGGAACGTACTCCCAAGGTCAAGACCCCCGTTCCCGCGAAGAGGAAGTGATGGCCTACGATAGACCTCCTGCGTGAATTTGGGATTTGGGTTTCGTGATGGAAAAGGTGTCTTGACGCCGTGCTGCTGTGGATAGGTTCCGTTGTCGCAGGAAGAAGGCGGCTCTTGGTCCGATTTGGCGGTTCGGTTTTCAGTCGTTGCGGCATGAGCGATGCTTCCTGACGTTCGTAATGTGGGATGGTTGGACGTGTGGGAGAAGGTTGTATGTACCTGCAGAAACGGGGGGCGATTTTGGGACCCTTTCGTCCGCAAGCCTCCGTACACTATGCTGCTCGGCACTTTCGGTGTCTAGCACGTTGCTAGAGATAATCAGGTGTCGTTAATCACTGGGAACATTCCACGGTGTATCGTGTATGGTACGTACGTTTCCAGAGGTACAGCGATGTGGTCTTCTATTCTGCGCCTTCCTCGACAGATGCATTTGTAAAAATGCGTGCCGAACTGAGCGGAACCGCTGCTGTAGAGTTAAAGATGCACACAGAATCCTTCAGCCCAAGTACGTGACTATCTACCTGCTAGATATGACAGATGGAAATGGCATCGTAAATAGGGTTTCGGCATGGAAACGCCACTTGTTTTTGCGCAGTGATGAGTATCATGAACAACACAACAACTTAATCAAATATATTTGTCACGTTTAATTACCTAAGATGTCGAGTTGCAACGGTCACGTAAAATAACATTTTTGTACTCCGACACCTCCCAAACAAAACATCAAAGATGTTCGAGGACAGGTTACCAACAGCGACAAGCAAAACGCAGAATGCTCTCGAAAAGAAGGTTTTGCAACTCTACCAGGATCTGGAGCCTGTCGATGCCGATGAATTGCACGACTTCCTCGAGCTGCATCGCGACAGCCACATCGCCTACATCCAGAGTGGCCTGGGTCAGCTGGGGTCAGGATTTGCAGTCCTGGACGCCAGTCGCACCTGGATAGTATTCTGGTTACTGCATTCGCTAGCATTGCTTGATGCCCCGCTGCCTCGGGACGTGACGGTGGACGACATAATCGCCTTCCTGAGCACCTGCCAGCACCCCGGGGGTGGCTTTGGGGGAGGACCTATGCAGCTGGCGCACCTAGCCCCCACGTATGCCGCCGTCGCGGCTACCGTCACTCTTGGCGGGAAAGCGCTGGGCCTGGTGGACCGCGCAAAACTCCGGGACTTTCTCTTCCGCATGTGCATCCCGCCAGAGCAGGGCGGCGGATTCAGCGTGCACGAAGGTAGAGAGGCGAGAGCTGGATGTGCTCTGGCCCCTGGGTCAGTTCCGCTGCCTTGACGGACGCTTGCCATCTCTAGCCTTCCGATGTCCCGGCAGTACCTTGCAATCTTTCTCTAACCGCCATGCCAATAGCTAGGGTGTGACTATTTCACGTCTTTCCGGGCGGCCTCGTCACATCGCTTTTACATATGGCTACCCATGACATCTGGTCAACCCATGCTTTCGCGCCATCAAGGTCAGCGAACCCAGACATCCTCCTCGCGCTCCGACTGAAGAAGAATCAAAGCCGACGCCTGTTTGAACGCCATAATAAATCGTAATCCATGTCATCCAGGTTTTCCATAGATCACCCTGAGCAGTGCACTTCTGCCTCCCCCATGTACTCCGGCTCCAAGATGGGGTGTACCCCATCCCACCAGCAAGTCCTTGAGACCCAACTGATGTGGTATCCATATATACTACCGCAGCCGTCATTGGGCCCCCACGGCCCCCACGCCCCTCCCCCCCCCCACACACACACACACACGGCTACCAGGCGGAGAGGGCGACCTCCGCGCCTGCTACACCGCCATGGCCGTGACCCACATGGTGGCGCTGGAGGAGGGCGACAAGCAGGAGCTGCTGGCCAGGTCCGGAATGGTGGAGTACATCAGGGCTTGTCAGGTGGGCTGGCTGGCTGGCTGGCTGGCTGCATCTGGATGGTCACATCGGGGATGTCGATGCCGGTGGGGAAAGGGCCGTCAGTATCAGCACCTCTCTGTAGAGTCATCAAGCTGGAATCCATAAACAAATGAAATGTATTCCCTTGGCCATACCATTTTCTCCAACCCCTATTATTTCCCGCACCGGTGCCACCGGTTCCCTGAAGGGGAACACACCCCAAAGTCTCTCTCTTCTTCGTCTCACCCGAAGGGGAACACATGTGCGTGTGTGTATGTGTGCGTGCGCCCACACTTTCGGTTCACACCTGCTGCGGTAATTCCTGAACCATGCACGCTGCCGTACACGGCCGTACACAGACGTATGAGGGCGGTCTGGGCGGCGAGCCCGGCAATGAGGCGCACGGTGGCTATTCCTTCTGCGGCGTGGCGGCCCTGATGTTGGCGGGGGGCCCCTCCCTGGTGTCGTCCACACTGGACGTGCCCCGGCTGCTGCACTGGCTGGTGCACAGACAGGCAGGTGTCCTCCCGCGTTACCCCGCCAGCAGCGTCCCTAAGGTTGTTGGGGGGCATTGAGAGAAAAAGAGAGAGAGAGACAGAGAGAGAGAGAGAGAGAGAGGGGCAGCAGCAGCAGCGGATGAGTAGGAGCATACTAGCAGGTACTTTTGTGTTGATGGAGGGTTACAGTTACAGGGGACCGTTATCGATCGGTGTTGTACACGTTATGTACGACATCAGTGGAAACGGTCTGGTGGCTTTGGGCATCGGTTCGGATAAAATATGCCATTCGGCTGATGCCGCTGTTGCTTCATCTTTGCTGGTGGTCCCTTTAAATCTCGGGGTGTCGGGGTTGGCTTCACAAGGGTCTCGGATTGGGCCGCCGCAGGTGCGTCGCCGCCCCAGCGCACACATACATACATACATACATACATACATACATACATACATACATACATACATACATACATACATACATACATACATACATACATACATACATACATACATACATACATGCACACACCTCCTCCCAAGCGCCCTTACCTGTCCCGCCGTCCCTCTCCCTCCTCCCTTTCCGTCTTCCGGAGCCCGCATCGATCCCCGCACACAGCACGCTCACTTGATCACATATCGCTCTATCCTCCCCTCCTTCCGACCAATCCACCTCCCTCCCGCCCTCCCCCCTTTCAGGGCTCCATAGAGGGCGGCTTCAACGGCCGGACTAACAAACTGGTGGACGGCTGCTACAGCTTCTGGCAGGGCGGCATATTTCCACTGCTGGCGCAGCTGCCGCTGTCGGCGCTGCGACCTCCGCCGGTGGGTCTTTGGGGGGGCCTCTAGCAGCACTACCGTGTTTCCCGGGGCGGGGCGGGGCGGGGCAAAGGGGGGGGATGTTGGGGTGAAGGGAGGGTTAGGAGTGGGGAACCCGTGACAGACGGCCATGGCACGTGTTGTGGGGAAAGAGAGGATGAGGATTCTCCTATACCGCTCGTGTTTAGTGTGTGCGCTGCTCGCTGGGTTTTCTGTGTTTCTTGGGGTTTTGCTGCATCTCGGTGTTTCTCGGTCTGTTTCGGGGTTTCGGAGCTTCTTCTTCTTTTCGTTTCCCCGCCGGGGGAGGTCTGGTCCTCTCAAGTTATTGTCTCAAGAGAGGAATGCTTTAGGGGGGGATGTGCCCATGGGGCATGCCGCATGTCTTTACAGCAAAATGTAATGACTTGATCCTCACGAATTAAGAGACCCAGCTGAGCCCAACTGAGATGAAAAAGGTATGTATGTACCCTGGTCGTGGCGCCGCCCTTCCTGCGGCAGCCTGCGGGTCTTCGCGTTTATCGGTGCGGCATATCCACCTAGCCTTCCGCCTCGCATCCAGCGCTCGCTCTCGTCCCGCAATCTTTACTTAGGTTTTTCTGTGTCGGTAATTCCATGTCCCATTTTTCCCGCGTTGATCTCTTCTCTCACGCTCTTTATCTCACGCTCCGTAGCCATGGCGAGCTCACTCACTCAAGCAACAGCCTCTTCACGTGTGGAACACCAATCTGGGTTATTTTGTTTGCCCTAGCAGACCGTTGCTGTTGTTTCCGTGTGGTCGTGTTTCATCTTGCTCTCCTCTCCTCCTTCCTTTCCTCTCCACGGTGTTTCCGCGAGCCGCAGGTGCCGGCTGCCCAGGCGCCGCGGGAGGTGTTGCAGACGCCCCCCGCTCCCATGATGACCGCCTCGCCGCCCTTTGAGTTGGTAGGTTGACGTGGAGGGTTCAATTGACGACTTCGAAGACGACCTTTAAGCACGTGCACCTGCAAGGGGTGTGCTGAGTGCGCTGGCAGGGGCAGACGCTGCCGTGCCGCAGCAGCGGGTTTTTCACTCGCCCAGGCTTTTTCCTCTCCACAAGACTTCGGCTGTAACCAGCTCTTGCAGCATGTAAGCGTGTACGGGATGCCGCGTCGTTGACCCTGCCTGTTGTTGTCCCTCCCTCCTCCCTCCCTCCTTCCACTTCACCACCACCCGCCAGGCCGAGGGGGAGATGCATGCACGCATGCACGCCTACGAGGCGCTGCGGGGCAGGGCGCTGGCTGCGAGTGACGAGGCGGACGGAGCGCTTCGCGGCGCGGCAGCACGGCACTCCGCGGGCAAGGCAGCCGCCGCGAGGGAGCTCCTGGACCAAGCGGCAGCTGCACACGAGGTGGGGCCTAGGAGGCCTAGGAGAAGGCCTAGGAGAAGGCCTAGGAGGAGGGAAGGGTGAATCACTTCCTCCCGTTAAGAGTCGGTGCTCGGGGGGGCCGCGGTTATCCGAGGATTGCTGGGTTTTGCTTCCCAAGGGGGGCCCCGGGGACCAGGCGCAAGGCCCAAATGGGGGATCGGGCGCTAGGAGGAGTCTTTCCAGGACTGGGACTGCTGGCTATCGCTCCAACTTAAACCTGAAGAGGGGGGTTATTAGGACGGGCGTTAGCCCGCGGAAGGCACGCCCGCGGAGTGGGGGATGTGACTCATGGCTCGAAACGTTGAGGGTTCCCGCCGACGGCGCTGCTGCCCAGTGGGCCCAAGGTTGCTGCTGCCGCAGCCGCTACCTTGATTACCGCTGTTGCCGTTGTTGCCGATGGCGCTCTTGCGGTTGTTGTTTTGCGGTTGTCTCAGGCGGCGGAGCTAGCCACCACCAAGCTGGCTTGCATCAACGTGGCTGCCTTCAACATCTGTCCGCCACCCGACCCGGAGGTACTCGCCATCCAGGAGCGGGAGCACCTACGGAGCATGGAGCTACGACAACAGGCTCAGCAGCAACAAGCTCAGCAGGAGGGCCAGGCAGGGCAGGCGCAGGCGGAAGCACCGCAGGGCCAGCAGGGGCAACAGCCGCCAGGCGAGGCGGCGGCCGGGGCGGCGGCAGCACCACCACAGCAGCCGCCCCCGCAGCCGGTTCTGCCGCCGCCTTTGTGCAATTACGAGGCGCTTCAGCTGTGGATCCTTAAGTAGGTACTGAGTGGCACAGGTTGGAGAAGGAAAGGGGACGTGGGCGAGGGCGGGTGGATGGGTGGTAGTGGTGTGGCAATGGGGGGTAGTGGGGGGAGGGAGATGCCGCATTGGGAGCGGGCCGCATTCGCCGCCTGAAGCCCATCCTGCCAAACTGTCAAAGCGGCTCTTCCTCCATATGACCTGTTTGGTTCGTCGTAGTTTCTGCACCATGTGCTTCTGGCGTGTTTGCGGTTCCAAGCCCTGGCCATGCGCGGGATGGCAGCCCTGGGGCCCCCTTGGGCCCGCTTCCCTCTGGCGGCGTCCGTGGCTGGTGGTGGTCAAAAGTACCACCTCTGCGGCTTTTTTGCCGCCTTCCCTCCATATGTATCTTTTCCGCGGGTGTCGTCATTTTACATCCTTTTTTTAATGATATGTTCGCCTGGTGTGTATGGGGATAATTCGCCTCTTCACTGCCGCTGTGTACCTTCTGTGGTACACTGCGCACCTGCCAACGCAGACACCCAGACGGGGCCCATGCGCTCCGGTGCCGCCGCCTCCCTCCACCCCGTTGCGCCAGGTGCTGTCAGGCCACCAAGGGCGGCCTCCGCGACAAGCCCGGCAAGCCCGTGGACTACTACCACACGTGCTACTGCCTCAGCGGCCTGTCCGCGGCGCAACACGCCCCGGGGTCGCACCTCATGGGCCACCGGGAGACCAACCTGCTGCGCCGAGCTGACCCCGCCGTGAATGTGGTAGAGGATAAGTTGGCGGCTGCGCGGACCTACTACACGGCACGGCCGTTGCCGGCGCTCGCGACACCCATGCCGCTGGGGTAGCAACCTCAGCCGCATTAGAAAAGCGGCGTCCTTGCGTGAGTGTTATCGTAAAAATCAGATCCGTTCATCAATGCGTTCGTTTTTAGGGTAACGTTCATTTCTGGTTGGTGCATGAGTGGCGGAGTTTATGGTGGAGATATGTTGTGATGTCTTGAAATTGAATGGCGGATTGACGTACAATTGCTGTCTTTTGCGGGGACACGTTTTTCGCCCTTTTTCACCTCCGTTTCGTTGGCGTCTTCTGGCTGTGCAACCAACGATGCCAGCTAGCTTGTCTAGCCTGGTCTAGCTGCGCGAATTCCCGCTCATCCGCCTTGAAGGACCCGTCGCAAATTCGTGCCCCGGTTCCTCACGCAACAGATGTGGGCCGCGCTGACTGAAGCCAGTTTTAGCCAACGGAAAGGGCTCCAAGGGGAAACTGCAAGACAGGCGGCCCCTTGGGTGACACAACACCCAGCTAGACGGCAATTTCTTTTCCTCAACTGAGGGCCCGAGGGAGCTAAGGGGCTTTCACAGGAACATGGACCGATACCCTCACACCTCGATGACACGTATGGGCCCACATGATAAGCAAGAGGGAACCCCTGGCCTCAGGAAGAGGCGGGACCGCACTGCCATGGGGTGAACCTCCAAATGCGACCTTACGCCGAAACATTGGCTACATCTGGGAAAAACACCTGCGCAATCATCTGCAACAGTTCTAACGGAAATCCACCATCGTAAACCATTTGACTTCTACTCGTTACACCTGCCCCTCCGTCACCCCTCAGCACCGCTAGAGCCAAAATCATCAGTCGTTAGTAGGAGTAAAAACAGCAGCATTCTCCAGTAGGCAAGGCAGAGAGCGCGCCAGACCTGCAAGAGCAAACCTACGTCTTATTTTTTATCGCGGCAAATGCGGCTGTCAGCTTTGGGAGCCGCCACCACATCCACTGGGCCTTTCGTATCTTGTCTCTTGTTACCTACCTGCCGCAGGGCCCCACTGCAGCTTCAACCTCCAGCACTGAGTTCGTTTCCTTTCTATCCGCTATTTTGCACCGACGGACTCTCCAGCCTACAGCGGCCAGGGGGACAGACAACACAACAAAACCTTCCCCGACCCACGCGCTCCCACGAATCTTCTATGCGTTGCAGACGTCACGCCCGTCCGGGCACATACCTTCTGCTAACACACACACATACATACGCACACACACGCATCCTGGTATACACACGCACAGATACACGCACCCAGACATCCTGACATAGACACTGCTTGCAAACTACTCACACACACACTAAACACCGCGGCCGAAGCCCTATCAACCGGTCAACAAACCAGTCGGCAGTCTGTGCAGGTCGCGGGTAATGCCACGCCATAAATTTTGTGGGCTGCTCATGACGGGTGCGGACGCCTGGGCAAATCGACTCCCTCCGCACCCGGCTACATAGTCATGGCTAAGCTGTGGCACTCCGCGATGGAGCTCTCGCTTCAAGCACTGTCTTAGGTCTCTGGTATCCAAATAACGCCAGTGGGGTGTTTCAATGCCGCCATTCCCACCCCACTGTCATGAAAATGCTATAGTATTCTATTCCCGAGCAACAAACAGCCCAACGTCCAGGCACCATACGTACATTGGCGATAACCCACAAGCACATACAACAGACACACGCAGTGCTGATACAAGATTTGACACGTACACATTTGACACGCGAGCACGTGTACAGACATTTGACACGCGAGCACGTGTACGGACACAGGGCGCCCAACTCGTAATTTTGTCAGCACCAGGGAGGCTATACGGCCAGCAAATCCCCTGACAACCTGGTAACAACCCAATCTTATTGCGGATGGCATCTATGGCCTCAGTCTACGGCGATAGTAGAAGACAGAAGTCCACCATAATCCGGACACCCCACCAGAACGTCGTGTGCATTTCCGCCCGGCCCCCAAACAGCCCCCCTCAGGCGCGACTAGTAGGCCCTATCACCCACAGGATGTTCGGATGTCCTTAGAACTCTTAACTGTGCCGAGCCCCTTTGATCCGAAGAGGAGGAGGAGGAGGAGGGAAACGGTACCTTTTTTTACAGGAACAACCCCCCGGTGTTCTCCTACGTTTTGTCTCCTCGCGATTGAGCGTCATCTACATATAAAAGCCACATACTGTGTTTTAGGTGTAATAGGTAGGTGCAACACGCACACAACACGCACACGCACACACATACACATACACGCACAAGATGGCCTATACAGCAAGGATCCCACATGTCCCACACACCATGTCGAGAGTCCTCCTGCTGCAGCCATTGGCTGCGTGTGGGACAACAACATGGTGACCTGGGGAAAGCCTGTTAGGCCTGATTAGCGCCTCACACAGAGCCCCACATCATAGAAGCTTCCCCGCTAAGTTCCTCGCTTTGAGGGGTAGCTGCAGAGGACGCATGGAGCCCTGCGGGACGGAGCCGGCCGACGATACGCCTGACGAGGCCCCGGCAGTGACTGCCTGTATAAGAGGGATCTCCGTCGGGCGGTCAGCCACTGGGGCAGGAACTGACAACCGAAGGCCTGTCCTGCATCACTGCTTGCCGCCGCCGCCGCCGCCGCCTGCCAGCCCGGCGTTGTAATGTAATGTAATCGCCGGTTCGCCCACCATGTACCAGTAAGGTCTCAACTTGGCTTTAGCTGCGTCGCGCTTGGCAGCAGCGATGGCCCAAAGGCGGAATGGTGTTGAGGTGATAAGTTTTGCAGCTGAGGCAGAACGGCCGGACGAGGGGCCCCACGTGCCTGCGACACATGTTGCTGCTGCTGCTGCTGCTGCTGCTGGCGGTAGTCTTGGTAGTGCTGTTGCTGCTGTTGCTGCTGCTGCTGCTGCAACGGCTGGTGCATCTGGTGCGATGAACCGTTACTCGCAGCGGCGCCTCCGCTGTGGACTCCTCTGCTGTTGCTATTGCTGTTGCTACTGCTGCTGCTGCTGCCAGTAACGGTGGACCATGGAAATGGCTTGCTAACATCAAAGGAGCCCCTTCCAATCGACCCCTGCTGCTGCTGTAGTTGCAACTGTTGTTGCTGTTGGCCAATCAATGCAGCGAGATACTGCACTTGGTTCTGCGACTGGGACTGGAAATGAGGCTGCACGGCCGATTGAGATTGGAAGGACGAAGCTGCCTGTTCGGTTGTACGGTAGGTGTTCATGGAGCCGTTACTGTGATTGCCCTCAGCAGCATGTGTACCTCCCCCCGCTGGCCACCCATTGGCACCAGCGTACCGGAAGCCCGGCACCTGGTAGCTGGTAATAGTCGGCAGCTGGTGTGCCGTGGTTGACGCCGGTAAGCCCCCGTCAGCTTTTGTATGTGTAGCAACGGCTAACGGTTGGAGCAGTTGAGTTGGTTGGATCTGTTGAGGCGGCTGTCCGACCGGGTTGTTGGCTGAGGATACGCTCAGTAGTCGAAGCATCGAATCCAAGTCGGAAATCGAATCCTCCTGCTGCTGCAGCTGCTGTAGTTGTGGTTGTAGCTGTAGCTGTGGCTGTGCCGGCTGCATGGACGAACCGTTCTGCGACAACTGCGATGCGCCTGACATTGACATTGACATTGAGAACAAAGAAGACGGCAAGGAAGATTGACTGCTAAAGTTCAGCTGCAGCTGGGTGGGCTGCTGCTGCTGCTGCTGCTGCTGCGACGGCTGCGGCTGTTGTTGTTGTTGCTGCTGCTGCTCTTGCAGCGGCTGTGAATGCGACTGTTCCTGCGGCTGGATTCCGTTGCTAAACAAACTGAACACGCTTGTCTGCCGGGACTCGCCGAAAGACGACGCCTCGGTTATGAATCCCGGCGGCGGCGGTGGCCGCGGCCGCGGCCACATGGCCGCCGTCACCAAGTCGTACGCAGCGGCGCTGCCGCCGCTGTTGCTGACCTGCGCCGTCGGTCCTAAGCCGACTTTCGCCAGCGCTGCTGCTGCCGCCTCCGTTGCTGCCCGTGCCCGGTCAGCCGCCGCAAGCGCTTGGTCCTTGACCTGCGAGCCGCCTCGAAGTGCTTCTAAGAAGGCTTGGCCGGCAGCCGCACCACTCTGTGGGGCCCAGAAACGGGGACCGCCACCATTTTCCTCTGCCTCGCAGCCCCCAGGTCCCGCCTCCTGCTGCTGCTGCTGCTGTTGTTGCGGCTCCTTTCGCTGCGGCTGCTGCTGCTGCTGTAGTGCGGAAAAGATCTGCTCCGAAGCGGCTCCGAAACCACCTCCCCTGGTTGCGCTCCCTAAGCCACCCAAGCCACCGAGCCTAGGGAAATCAATACCATTACCATCCCCTCCAGCACCAAGCCCCGGCGCGGAAGAGGAGCCGCCGTAAGCTGCTGCAGCTAGGCCATCCCTTCCCAAATCCTGAACGCCGTTTCCAGATCCAAACATTCCAGCTCCGAAACCGCTACTGGCCACTCCCGCTGTCGGGAACAGCCCTGGCGGCAGCTCGGATAGCTGCTGTTGCTGCTGCTGCCGCTGCAGCAGATATTGTCGTTGTTGCTGGTGCTGCTGGTGCTGCAGGTATTGTTGTTGTTGTTGTTGTTGAAGGTACTGCTGGCCCGATGTCTGACTCTGCAAGGCTGCGTGGTCCCGTACCGCCAGCATCTCTAAATTCGTCAGCTCTCTCTTCTCCGACTCGTCCAAACTGAACAGCAACTCCTCACGGACCTCACCCACTAGCTGCTGCTGCTGCTGCTGCTGCAGCAACGCCTGCTGCAGCTCCAGCTCCTGCCGAATATCCAACTCCTGCAGCTGCTGCACCTGGGCCGGCTGTTGCTGCTGCTGTGGGGGCTGCGACAGCAATGACTGGGCCGAACTGGCGGTGAACCCCGACTCCATCGTCGCCAGTGCCCGCTGTTCAAATTGATGCATCAGCTGCTGCTGCTGCTGCCGCTGCTGGACCAACGAATCTGGCAGTGGCAGCATCGGCTGCGGCTGCGGCGGCATCGGCAGGCCGGCGAATATTCGCGGTGGTGGCGGCAGCGATTGCGGCGGTGGCGCCGGCGGCAGCGGAAATGTGTGCCAGGTGAGGGGTGGCCTGTTGCGGCTTGCCGCGGCGTGGTGTCTCCAGTCCTCTAGCGACATTATCGGCGAGCCCACCTTGGTCGCATCGATGAAAGCCCTGCGTACGGCAGTACGGTGTCGTACATCCTTGCACACAGATGGTGGTCCTCCGGATGATAATGATTTCTCCGAATGATGATGACGATAGCCAGCCTGGCCGCATGGCGCCCGCTTTCACCAGTGGGGGGACAATCCCCACTCAACCTGGCGTTGCTGCCCTAATCGTCTCAAGCACTCTACTCTACTCTAAATGCTCTAGGTGGTGTAGGTGATGTAGATCTGCTGCTGGATGGACGGTCCTACCGGTCCTAAAGCCCCTAACCCGAGCGGGCGTGTGTGTGTGTGTGTGTGTGCGCGCGTGCCCGTGTGTCTCCACATGCACACACACGCTGTGTTTTCTCCCCCCCTTCCCCTTGTGCCTCCCCTCATCCCCTATCCACTTTTTCTACCACCCTCAGAAGCACCTGATTTCCAGCCCGTGGCGGCAGACCACCCTCCCAGGGCCCACCCACCTTATGGCCAGGCGCTTCTGATACTCGGCTACCCACTTCGTGCCGGCCTCCTCCCCGTCCTCCGCCTGCGTCTCCCCGTCATGTGTGCGTCTGTGCGGGTGGATGCTGGAGGCCCCCCTCGCCGCCTCCATTGTCTCCAACTGCCGCAGAGCGTCCTTATGAATGACCCCGGCGGGAACCTACGGCGGCATCAATGGCGGCATCAGCAGTACCAGTACCAGTACCAGTACCAGTGGTAACGGTAAGCAAGGGCAGCAGGCAGGTATTACATAGCCAGGACAGGAAATCATGGGAGCATCGGGAGTCTGCGCGGCGACGGCGCGGCGACGGCGTAAGCTAGCTCCCTAAATTTCCCCTTTCTATTATCCATGCCACCGTGTTTTGGGAACGAGATGCAGCATGGCACTTATTTTGCCCATTTTGCTCGTTTATTTAAGAACTTATTAACCAAATTTTCGATTGTTCCTAACATTTTCTTTTATTTAGGTATTGCCAACGCGAATGGGGCTTTTACCCGGGCCGCTTCCTTACCTGGGCCGTGTTCTTTTACTACCCGTTCATTACCCAGTCCATTTCACTGACCCAAACCGCTGCTGCCCATCTGCTGTGTCAGCGGGGATTTTCTTTTCCTATCGCACCCGGCCCACGGCCCCCTGGCCGGCCTCTGCATCTCCCTCCGACCCGTGGGTCGCACCTTGAGCCGTTCAAGTCCGACGCACGGAAGGGCCTCCGCACCGAACAGCCAGGTCAGGGCGCGAGCAGCGTCTGCGCATCATCAGGGACATTGAGAGCCATTGATGCATCAGCCTCACCCATAGACCCAGAGACCCATAGCAATACAGTATTACTCCTCAGTTTCCATTTGCTCAGAAAGTCCTCTTCAAGAACAATCGACCCTTCAACTAAATTAGTTTAAACTCAGTTGGATCTAAGCGCTGTAACAAAAGCGCTGCTTGCAACCTTGACGTGTGTAGCTGCCTGCTAATAGCTGCTTATGCTGCCAGGGCGGCCCCCCTCTTGTTGGAGGGGGCCCGGCCCCCTCCCCGCGGAAACAGTGGGCCCCCGCACCTTCCGTAGACGACACGTTGCGCAGCAGGTGGAGGGAGTGGCCGAATACCCACGCAACGTACGACAGTGTGTGTTCGTTGCGCTCCTGCACGTTCCCGAAATCATCAGTCCCCCGACCCCACAGTCCCCGGGGGGCAAGGCGTGACGAGTCAGGGCGGGGTTGCGGTCGAAGGGCAGTCTGGCGAGTCGGGAAAAACTCCGACTCCGCATTTCCAGCCAAACCACACTACACGTGCTAACAGCAGTAGCAGCAATGACAGGTTCCAACGAACCCCGCAGGTGTTTGGAATGAAGGTAAACTTGCCATTCCATTCCGTGCGAGAGTTTGTAGGAGGAGCCAGTGTCGTCGACTTCCCCTAAGAGGCTGTTCCCCGTGTCTCGTGTTCCCACCCATGCGAGACACACACACACATACATACACACATACATACATACATAAATACATACACATGCCAGCACAGACAACACCTACCCCTCCCCGTGATACCTTGCCACCACCACCGCCATGGGGACCCCAACCACTACCATCACTACTGCCACCATCCCCACCACCGCCAACCCTTCACCCCCACCATCACTGCCAGCGCCACCCCCACCCCTCACCAGCACCATCCCCACCACCGCCACCCCTTCACCCCCACCATCACTGCCACCGCCACCCCCACCCCTCACCAGCACCATCCCCACCACCGCCAACCCCAGCCCTCCACCCCCACTACCACCCCCACCCCCACTACCACGCGGTCCCCAGCTTACCCTGGTCCCCAGGCTCCTTGCTGTGTTGTCATTGCAGTCGAAGGGCTCCTCCACCGCCGCCACGTAGGCCTTGGGGAAGCGGGCCGTGTAGCCGCGACCCAGCCACGTACTCACCCGCCAGTTCCGCTGTGCCGAGTTGTCCCGCCACTGGCACATGATGGTGGAGAAGCAGGACAGGAACCACAGCAGCTGGTCCAACAGCCCCGGAGGCTCGGAGGAGGATTGCGACCACCGGGGGGCCAGGAGGTGATCAGCCTCCTCGGTGCACCTGACGTAGCGGGGAAGGGGGGAGGGGGGAGGGGGGAGGAGAGGGCAAGGTCAGGTGTGATGTTCTTCTTCTTCTTCCCCTAAAGGGGATCTTCCCACAGATCTGTGGAAGATAAATAAGTAGGTATACAGGTAGATGGATAGGTACAGAAATAGAGAGAAAGCGGTTTTCCCGCATGGAGGAAAGATCAGCGGGTGGTTGTATTCGTATCGGCGCGGGGTTAACCGGTTCCTTGGACAGGCCTCCACGGAGCTCTTAAAACAGCCTCTCAGGACAGCTCTCCACAGATCGCGGGGACTTCGCGTAACATCGCCCCGCCCCGCCCCACCCCCGTGGTTCGTCTTCCCCCCCGCCCACCCCGCCCCGCCCCGCCCTACCCCGCCATGTAAAACAACTCTTCATTTCAACCTTAAGACCCCGGACGTCAGGAAACCGAAGCCACCATCCAAGACCCCAAGCAAGAGCCCCAAGGGTTCTCCCGCACCCAGGGGTTAACGCCGCACACCACTCGCAGGTCACACACAGCCGACCTCACCGACCAGTCAGAGTCCAACCTACCACCGGCACCGGCCCCGGTCAACCACCCACCCACCTGATCTCCGCGACTACCAGCATGTCATTCAGCTGGAGGCTCTTGTCCTGCAGGAAACCCAGGAAGCAAAAAACATGCATGTGTGCATCGTTGGTGTGTGTGTGTGTGTGTGTGTGTGTGCGATGAGGGTGCGAAACATTTCAAAGGTAGCCAAGAAAGGCTAAAGCAGCAGAGTTGTCAGGACAAGACACGACTGCCGCACCGAATAGACCTCACCCTTACTCCGTACATTCGTACTCCGTGCGGCATCTTTCCCCCCTTCAGGAACACAGCAATCCCTCGGGGACACACACCACACGCACCCAAACACCACAGGGGCGAACGGCCCGAGAGACCGGCCTAGCGGAGAATCACCAAAAGCACCCACCTACCCACCCACCCACCCACCCCGCGCACATGCCAGGAGCCTGGAGGTGTTTTCAGCGGCGACCATCCTACCTCCCTACCTCCCTACGCACCTCCCACTCCGACCCACCTCCCACCACCACCACCACCATCATGTCCCCCGACATAGCAGGACATACCGTGCCCACGAGGGGACTCACCTGCAGCGGCCGGCCCTTGCCCGCCGGGCCCGTGGGCTCCTCATCGTGGAAGATCCTCCACAGGGGCGGGAGGAGGTGGCCCCCCGGGTAGCTCTGCAGACTGAAGACCACCATGAGCGCCAGGCTCCAGCTGTTCAGTGTGGAGCAGTGCGCCGAGTTGATGTCGTGGTGCTTGGCCCAGAGCTTGACCTGGGGGTTGGTGCGGGGGTTGAGGGGGGAGGTTGGGGGGTGGTTGGGGGGGGAGGTTGGGGGGTGGTTGGGGGGGGAGATTGGGGGGGTGGTTGGGGGGGGAGGTTGGGGGGTGGTTGGGGGGGGAGGTTGGGGGGTGGTTGGGGGGGGAGGTTGGGGGGGGGGGTTGGTGAGGGGGTTGGTGCGGGGGTGGGGGGGGGAGGCCAACCACGTGAACGAGTGAAGCTGCTGCCGAGGAAAGAGTGTACAAGAAGCAGGACTGACCAGTAGGCATTCGTGCGAGGGGGGGCCCCGCATGGTTGGGGGAGCCCGTAGGGAGGATGCATGTGGGTCGTGGAAATAAATGGCAGGGCCTGGTGAGCACATGGAGGGGTACGATACGAGTGTTTGGAGGCCTGGACGAGATGGATGGGAGAAGTGAAGGGGGTTGGAACCCAGGCATATGTAGGGATGCGAGTGCTACGAGGTGGGATGGGAGGGTGGTGGACGGGTGGTAAGAGCAGCACAACGCAAGGCAGCCGCAGAATCCCTTGTCGGTCGGATAGGAGAAGGGAAGGATGGGGGAAGGATGGAAGGATGGGGAAAGGAGGGGAGGTTGGATGGGGCGCAATTACACCGAGATCTCCGCTGCTGCCGCTGCGCCCACCAGCTGTATGAGGGGCGCCAGGGAGGGCTGCAACTTGTACAGCGACCGCATGATGGAGCTCTTGAAGTCGCACCCTCGGGTGGTGACGCAAACGTCGCATTCGATGCCACTGCCAACCGCCTCAAACCTACGCGGGTCAGGTAGCGGGAGAATGAGGTATGTATGTATGTATGTATGTATGTATGTATGTATGTATGGGCAAGAGTGGATAAACATGCGGGCGGGTGGCGGGTAACCATGGGGGGGGGGGTTGTGTGTGTGGACGTGAACATCTGGGAGCGCGCGCGTGTGTATACATGTATGTATGTATGTATGTATGTATGTATGTATGTATGTATGTGTGTTTACCTACATGTACCCGGAAGGCCCCGGAGGGCGCTACGTGGACGGCAGCGCCCCAAGGGAAGCCAACCCCTGTGTCTCCTTCCCCCGGCAACCGGCGCGCACCGCCTCCCCCTGCCCCTCCCCCTGCCCCTCCCCCTACAGTGTCACCCTGGCCCCGGGGGCTGCCCCGCCCTGGGCCCCTCAATCGCACGCACTTGATGATAGGTACCCGGGCGCCCAGCGGATTGCGGTCCACCGACCCGTGGGTCAATTGCTGCGCCTCCAACGTATACGCCAGCCGTACTAGCAGCATCACGCACTCCTCCCTGGAAAGTTGCTCCTGCGGTGTGAAGAGACGGGGGCCAGCAAGAAAGGACGGCCGTCGACGGGGAGTAAGGAGGGGAGGGCTCCTCCGAGGTCACCGCGTGCACTGGCCCATAGCACAGGACCTCCACAAACGACCATCATTATCATCATCATCATCATTATCATCATCATCATCAGAGATATTGCAGTTACCTAATAGACCACTAAAGTAATTTCGTGCTCGTCATAGCCCCAGCCCAGCCCCGGTTCGGGGCAGTGCCCCATACAAGACCCTCACACCAAGCCTGCGTGCGCCAGCACCGCGCTCTGCCCACTCACGTACCCTCCAGTTCACGACCTCGAAACTGGCGGCCCCCCTCCCCCCGCCAGTAGCCCCGTGTGCTCGTCACCCGCTCTCCAAACCCATCGCCTCCGCTCCCGACCCGCAAGCTCCCTACCGGACTGCGCCCATGTAACCCCAACGCACCCACCAGCGGCACCGCAGTTCCGGCCGGAATTCCCCCCCGCCGCCCGACTACCACAGGCGCCACCTCCCCCGTCAGCGCAAGGTCCAGATCTGAGCTCCGGCTGTAGCACGAGCTCAGGAAGGAGCCGTACGGCACGAGCTGCAGCCGGGAGGGCGCCGGAAAGATCTGCGGGTCCCGCAGCAGCGCCTGCAGCCGCTCGATGGTAGCCTGCCGTACAGCTCCGTCATGCTCACCCGGTTCACGGCTCTGCGGGAGGGAAAGGAGGGGGGTGTCAGCAGCATTAAGTGTGCTACTCGGGGGATGAAGGCCAGTGAGACTGTGGCCAGCTTATGGCTCTGGTTAGGGCAAGGGATTCTGGTGCGCGACACATACTCAGAAAATGCCAGGGTAGGTCAGCCCAGGACAAGCAGACAGCATGGAAAGAAATTGGGGCGGATGTCCAAGGCAGGTCTACATAGACGTCTGGACGTTGGAAATCCGGAAGCCGTAAACCCGACACCCCGTATTGGACAATATGAACGCTAGTTCTGCCGTGGCGTGACGTAGGGATTCCCAAATCCCTGCAGATTGCTGCTTTGCTATTGCTGAGAGGCAACTGACGACACAACCGCGCATCGTGCCGGTCGGGTACGGCACGATGCGCGGTTGTGTCGTCTCATTCGGGTGCAGGGCTGCTGCCGCTGGAATTGCTAATGTCCAGATGCATGTGTCAGCCTTGCGTCAGCATTCGAGGACACACACGGAATTTCGATATGGGAAAAGCGGGTAGACAAATGGTTGCCGCTCCTGCTGTTCGCCCTCCCAGAAGCACCTTGGCAAGCATCTTAAGGCTTTGCTCAGCAAATTTAGCCGTTTCTATGCGGCATCTGGACTTGTGCTGGCCCTGATCGAACTGCCAGTTCCGATCGATGAACGTCTCCACTGAGTGCTGCGTCCGCGCGGGTTGGCTTCCAAGGCTTCCAGTTCCAAAGCTGCTGCCATGTGTGCTTCCATCAGACGACGCCATCTCTCATGCGTAAAGTCTCGGGGTAAAGGCTAGCTGCCCATTCAACGACTAAGCCACAAACAAGCATCAGGGATGTACGCTTCAAATCCAGTCAGCGGAACGGAAGGGCCTGAACCCTCCGGCATATACAGAATGGAGTGGGGGTGAGAGTTTGTCATTTGTGTACTGTACGGCAGTACAGGATTCTTTATTCTCAAACGGGAAAACTCCGCTGCGACAGTCGCATGTTGTGCAGACTTAGTTTCTATGCGCGATATTGCCCTATGCATTGTGAGCCACAAATCACCACAATTGCCAAGACTAGCGAAATCGTTTCCTTTTGCTCCTGTAATTTTTGCAGTGACATGAGACAACAAACAGACTCACATGGCTGTTATATCTGCTAAGTGTTTAGCCAGGTTACAAAATTACTTGAGTACACCAACTAGCTGAGCAGTTGACGAGGGATAGGGAATTCCCTTGGAACAGTTGCTCTTACTTGATAAATTTACTAAGTTGTTGAGGTTGACCAGGGCCTCGGCTGTCCTAATAGAGTTCTAGAATATGGACGAGTAGGCTGAGTTGGGCCCGGCTTCAGCCGGGCCGCCCAGCATGGGCGTACCGGTAGTTCCAACAGACCTTGAGGCACCTCCTAGCCTTCAGGAGGACCCTGAGGAGACTGCAGCGCTGACAGTCGGTACAGCCACCGGAGTTGTCGCAACAATTGATGAGACTCTTCAACATGTGGAGAGTGTGGGTCGACCACATGATTGGTGGTGGGCTCTTAATAATTGGAGAAGACATCGTGTGCTGGCGGTTTTCGGGAGCGACATTTGCATGCGGCTGGAGGCCACCCTGAGCAACAAGTACTTGCTATTTTTCACAATGATAATGACATTATTTTGCTTGTACGCGGTGGATGTTTGTGATTTGGCTAAGGGAGGAACGGACGCACGGACTGCCGTCTCGGCCATTCTGGTGAGTAGAGAAGGAATCCGATGGTGCGATTATAGGCTCCATTTACTTTATCTTTGCAAACAATTTGTTCTTTATTTTGAAAGAACTAATAACTTGGGTGTGTCATCGCTGTCTCGCAGCTTGCCATGTTCATTTTCTTCTCAGTTGACCTCCTGCTGTCTTCCATTTTCGTGGACAAGTACATATTGAGGTACGCTCTCTGATTAAACAATTTAACTCTCGGGAAACCGCGCCCTAATGTTCGGGCTGGACCGTGGGTATATCTAGCTGCGTAACCTACAAGGCCCATCCCACGCTTCTGCTTTAACCTGATCATCGCCCTGGTGAACGCCCTTGCCGTGTGGTCATACAGCTTTTTCTTCTGGGTGGATCTAGTTGGAACAGCAAGCTTAATTCTCGACATCCAGTGGTTTGTTGCCGGCTACCTCAGCGCCGAGGGTTCTAACGCACTGCAAATAACAAGAGCCGGGCGAGCTGCCCGAATTGGCTCCCAAATGGGTAAGCTTCTGGGCTCAATAAAGACAAAAGCTAATTAAAAACAATAGCTAATTATGCGGGGATTATCGACAGGGGCTTTAACAGTTAGTAGGGTTTGGGGACGCCTAAGCAGAGGCCATCGGCCATTTCGCACGCTACCGGAAAACAGGCGCGGAATTATGTCGGTCTCCCATGACGCATTACTGGCCCGAAGCACGTGTTGCGTTGTGCCATAGACCTGTTGAGCATAGGGCCCCCTACTGCCGAGAGAAATAGATGAAGAAGTTCTTAGTTAATCAACGGTCAGTTCGCAGTTTGTTGCCATCACATGGCACGGATGGCGCTGTAGCAGCGTATCCACGTGCTGGAAGGTCAAAAAGTGGGGGTGGCCAGGACGGAGCATGGGCTCCCCCACGGCAACGTCGAATGCGGTTCACTCGCTAGGACGTACATAGTAGTATTGCTGGTGCTGATATTGATGACTGATACCATGGTGGTGGTTGTAGTAGTTAAGGTGGTGGTTGTGGCGATGTGGGTTGGGTCCCAAACTTCTTGCATCTCTAGGGAAGTTCATTGCGCTTTACACCTCGCGTCTCCACGACAAGCGAGAACCGGCTCAACAGCAAGGGCAGGACAGGGCCAGGCTTGGCTGAAGAATCACATGAATATTATGAATACTATTACGGTATTAATATTACGGTATAATATTATGGTAATTATCCCCAAGACCTGTGGGATTGTGATGCCGATGACTTGCAGGTCGGATTACCCGGGTGTTGCGCATGGTCCGGGCGTTGCGGCTGCTGAAGGTGCTGCAGCTGCGAAGGCGGGCCAGGCAGGGCATGGAGCACAACCACGGCCTGGGAAACGTAAGTTGTCTATGATTCTGGAGGGTTCCCTAGGGTTTCGGAGCGCAAAATTCAGCTTTGCAAGCGTTCTGTAGAATGTACACGCCTTGGATGGGCGCGTCTTTAGGTGGTTTTCTTAATAGGAAGTCATACCCCACCTCATTGCCGAACATGGGGGGAACACGCGGGTCCAAGGCACGCACCCACCCACCCACCTAGCTGGCTGGCTGGCTGGCTGGCTGGTTCCGCGATACTCCCGCAGCCTGCACGTAGCAGAAAAAACAGCGCCTCGCGAGGACTATATCAGATTCCACCAGAAGCGCGCGAGGCTGCGCGCTACACCCCCAGTCGGCGGCAACGTCCACTAGGGTGCGGAGTAGGGTGCTTTCCTGCGGCAGCAGCAGCGGCGGCGGCGGCGGCGGCAGCAGCGGCGGCGGCGGCGGCGGCAGCAGCGGCGGCGGCGGCGGCAGCAGCGGCGGCGGCGGCGGCAGCAGCAACAGCAGCGGTGGCGGCGGCGGCAGCAGCAACAGCAGCGGTGGCAGCAGCAGGAACAGCAGCGGTGGCAGCAGCAGCGGCGGCGGCAGCAGCAACAGCAGCGGTGGCAGCAGCAGCGGCGGCGGCAGCAGCAACAGCGGCGGCTACAGCAGCAACAGCAGCAACAGCAGCAACAGCGGCAGCAGCAGCAGCGACGCGGCGTCAACAGCGGCGGCTGCAGTAGCAGCTGCGGCGGCAGCAGCTGCGGCGGCGGCTACAGGAGCGGCGGCGGCAGCAGAAGCAGCGGCAGCGGCGGCGGCGGCAGCAGCAGCGGGGGCGGCGGCGGCAGCAGCAGGGGGCCGGCGGCAGCTGCGGCGGCGGCGGCGGCACGGCGGCGGCAGCAACAGGGCCGGCGGCAGCAGCAGTGGGGGCGGCGGCGGCGCTAGCGTCAGCAGCGGCGGCAGGCAGCAGCTGCCAGCCACAACCTTCCCAGCAAAAGAGGGGAGGGCTTGCCTCATGTTTCCATACGCCATTACATGCTTCTTGCTTCAGCTCCCAGACACCGCTGCTGGAGGCACCAGCTGCTGGGTACCGCAGGGTGTATTTATAGTAGAGGAGGTTGAAACAAGTCCAAAAGGACAGAAGTGGCCACAGGCCACCGATTACAGCTTGAAAACCTTCGCGAGCACTTTTATAAGCTGTTATGCACTGCGTTGCTACGGCGAGCCGTACAATCATAACTACCGTTCAAATCCGTACAGCAACCCACCCTCTGTAATTCTCTGTCTTCAGGTCGCTCCCCCCGCACATCCCTTCAGGGGTATCGCGATTGCCCGTTGTGCGAGCTGCTGCCCCTCTCTTGCCCTTGGTGCTATCCGTGCTATACTCTGTTCCGTCCATTCCGCTCATGTGGGGTCTGCAGGGGCCAATTCGGCCTACGGTGCTCGGAGAGCTTCTAGCGGAATCCACCACCCGCAAGTGTGTCATCATTATCTTGTTCGTGCTGATCGTTGCTACCTTTCTTGAAAACTACCCTGTCACGGTGAGCGATCTCGACTGGAATCGAACCGGAGATTCCACCCCGCATGATATTGCTGAGGTTCCCTCTTTACAGATTGCGAAAAAGTTAATCTTATTTTTTCAAAAATAAGAATAGTAGCTTATGTAGTAGTATGTAGGTAACCATAGGTTGAAGCCTTTGTCTTGGGGCGCGTGGTTACATTTTGAACCATGAGCCGCAACCGATGCGGCCGGGATATTGGGCGCGCCCAAGCTCCTTCATCATTTTCCCAGAGCGACTGGAATGAACTTTTGCCACGAACCACATCACCTCTCACCCTCGGACCCAGGCCGCGGACTACAACCGGATTCAGTTGGTGTCGTACCGCATCATGACGCCGGAGGCGTTCGTACAGAGCTCCGCGCACCCTGTCATTCTGCTGACCTACGTCGACGTCCTCGGCGGCGGCCGCCTTGTTAACTTTTTGCCGTACACTCGTACGGACATGCGCAGCGTCATGCAGCTCCGTACGGAGGTAGAGTGCGCCAAGTACGTCGGATCTCGGGTGGAACCGTGTGGCTTTGCCAACGACTACAACGCCGTCTGGTGGGTGTCACTAACGGGGATTCTCTCCGGAGGGGAGGGGGGGAGGAAATATCTGCAAGCGGGGCGGCACGGCATGACCTTTGCCAGCGACTGCAGCAGCATGTTGTAACTGGCATGGTCACCGCCCCGGAGGTTCCCTTTCGAGTTCTGGACAGGGCGCAGATGAAGTTCAAACCATCTAGCTTGGTTCTTTCTGCTGCTCGTTCGCTTCCTCCTCCTCCTCGATGCGCTGTTACGTGTGAGCGGAGCGAAATCTACATGCTGTACACACCGTACCCATCCGGACTGTGTGTAAGTGTACGGAGCAACGATGTACTACTTATTACTCATGCCCATGTGTTCCGTGCGTGTTCACTTCCCGGGTGGCGTGGCACGTGTTGGATTTACGCGTGCAGGTACGACGTGTCGAAGTCACAGCAGCTGAACGCTGGTCTCAACATCGCGTTGACTACGGTCATTATTGTGTGTCTCGGCCTATCAGCGTACTTTTTCGGGCGTGACGCTACGACCTACGTCATCGTGCCGATCGAGACCATGCTCAAGTACCTCAAGCGAATGATCATGGTTTGTGGGGAGATGGGAAGGGATGGGATGGGAAGGGAAGGGTGACACGGGGGGGGGCCTTGACACCAGAGACGTGCGTATGTGGCGCGGTGGCATAATGGGTGACGGCGGTACGGCGCGGTACAGTACGGCAGCTGCGGTGGCAGGCATGATATTGCCTTTAGTCCGTGTGCTGCTTTACGTGTGTGGACGTTGTCGCGGCTGTGATGTATGACTATCATGATTTGGTAACCATCTGCAGTTGCAGATCAGGAACGCAGGAACCCGCGTGGGACCGTGGGGTACTCTTTTGAATGTGTTTACATTATTCCAATATTTTAACCTCCAGGATGCCTATGTCCTAGAGGCACCATCGGAGCGGGGGCCCGTGGGGGGATGGGTGAGAACGTGCGTGCGTGCATGGCGTTGGAACTCTATGCAACAGCTGTGTGCTTGGTTGTTGTGGCTGTAGGTGGGTGTGGACAGTTGCGACGTGGAAAGCGAGAACATCAACATCCGCAAGCCGCCCGAGACGGATGTGCTGGCCAACTACGTGTCGAGACTGGTCAACGAAATAGACAACGCCAGGTGGAAGGTGCGTCTCTTTCGCCCCTGCTTTATATCCGGATGTGGGGTGGGTGGGGCCGTGCGGGGTTGGGGCCGTGCGGGGTTGGGGCCGTGCGGGGTGAATGGAACGGAAAGGAGCGTGCTTGTGAGGGAGCCTGAGCTTGCGGCCAAGTACGTAATAAGCCTGGCCAGGATGTCAGAGAGCCTGGGGGGAATGTCAAGAGCCCTCAGCATGCCGAGCCAGCGGTCATTATGTGCTTTCCCAACCCAACGATGGTCAGTAGGCGCCATTTAGCCAGGTGACCAGCTGGCAGGATAGCCAGGACATGGCGCGGCAGGGGCAGGATAAGTCAGGTTCGTGACCAGGTGTAGCCGTCCAGCCGGAAGGAGAGGAAGAGCCGAATAGGAAATTCCTAATTTGAGTGGGACGTGGCCCCGGGTGCGACCAGGTTGGGTTTTGCGGTGAGTGTTTCCAAACCCGATGGTTATTTGTTTTAAACCTCGTAGCTCCCGAGCGAGCCCCATGTAAAAAAGCTGCACGATCCCCAGGTCGAATCCCCCCGGTTGCATTTTTTTCCCTCAGGCGGAGGAGGAGGCCCGCATCAGCGACACGCTGCTCAACAGCATGGTGCCGCCACGCATCGCCAGACAGCTCAAGGTGTGTATGTACGGCTGAAATAAGGAGGGCTGTAAACGGCAGTGGAGTTAACAGCTTCTATTCCTGGCTTGGGAGTGGTTTTGTAATACAGTTTTCTAGCACGTGATTTACTCTGTCGGGGTGGAGGTTGGAGCGCTCCGAGTCGCCGGGAGGAATTCCTGAAGGGGTTCCCGTTCTCCGGTCGCTCGATGCCCTTTGTGATGCCCTGTCTAATGCCCTTTGTTCCCTTTTCCTGCTTTTGTTGGCAGTCGAGCCTTTCCTTTTTCACTGTCTGATTCTCTTTCCCGTCTCGCCTTCCCCCCATCCACCACCTCCCATCACCACCCCTCAACTCCCACCACCGCCACCACCACCACCACCACCACCACCTCCCATTCACCTCCTGCCCGCTTTAGGAGCTTCGTTGGTGGGAGGCCGGTCCGGAGCAGCGGGCTCAGACCATAGCGGACTCCTTCCCGCACACGACGGTCTTGTTTACGGGTGGGTCGGTGGGTCGGTCGGTGGGTCCTCCCAACGGCCTCCAAACGTCTGCTTGACACATCTGAAGCTCCTCCCACGCCCCTCACCAACACCACCCCTGGACTGACTGAGAGAGTGGGTGGGTTCGTCCTGGGGCTGTGCTTGGCTTCTTTACCAGCTACTACCAACACGCTGCCGGCTGCCTGAAATGCAGTCAGTCCTTTTTGAATGGTTATTGTAATGACTGTTACTGTTTATACTGTCTGTGTGTGTCTCTCTCTCTACCAATTAATCTATCTAACTATCTATCTATTTGTCTATGACTTAGATTACACTGTGGGCCGCGAGAGCCGGGGGCCGAAGCCGAAACACAGCGCAAGGGTCGGGAGCACACAGCACAAGTCTTGTGTGCTCCCGACCCCGATTTGGACTGCCAACACTCAACGCAGCCACTCCCCTGCCCCTCCATCCGGGGATGGCGCTGCAGTGAAAACACTCTATTGTCTATGTATGTATGTATGTATGTATGTATGTATGTATGTATGTATGTATGTATGTATGTATGTATGTATGTATGTATGTATGTATGTATGTGCCTATCTATCTATTTTTATGTTCCCAATATTGTTTCTTGTCATTGTTTCTGTCGACCTGCAACTCCAAGCTGTCACGGGCCTCCCCCCCACTTTTTCCTCCCTCCCCACACAATCCCGCGCGCACGCACATGTGTACGTCATGTGTACGTCATGCGTACGCAAATGCATACATGCACACGTACAGATATTGTGGGCTTTACGACCCTCTCCTCGCGGATATCCCCCGAGGATGCCATGCGCCATCTCAACAACATGTACACCGTGTTTGACGAGATCGTCGAGAAGTACGGGCTGTACAAGGTACGGCACGGTATGGAAGTACGGTCCTAATCCCGTGCACTGCTGTATGCTCCCGCGTCACGTGTTGTGTCTCTCTTCTTACCCCCTCTTACGTCCCCGCCCACCTCTACCTATCCCCACCTACTCCTCCTCCCAACACCCCCAACAAACCCAACACGCCCAACACCCCCAAAGGTGGAGACCATCGGTGACAGCTACATGTTGGTTGGGGGGGCGCCGGAGGAGCGTGTGGACCACGCGGAGCGAGTGGCGGCCGCCGCGTTGGAGATCCGCGGCTGTGTGCCCCTGCTGCGGGAGATCAGCGGCGAGCCGGGCATCAATGTGCGCATCGGCATGCACAGCGGCGCGGTGACCGCGGGTGTGGTGGGCTTCAAGAACCCCCGGTGGCATCTGTTCGGGGACACGTGCAACACAGCCAGCAGGATGGAGAGCACGGGTGAGGGACTGGGGGATGAGGGCCTGGGAGCGAGGGGCTGCGAGTGATGGATTCACGTATGTGTTTCACGTATATATGTGTGTGTGTGTGTGGTTTTATGGAAATAGGCAAGATAGGACCCCTGTTTACAGCACGGCCCCGGCAGGGCCGAAGGAAAAGGGAGTATACCTGGGGCGTTTTGAAGCGTGCTTGTTCAGGAGTGTGTCCCCGTGTATGTGTGTATGTATGTATGTACGTTTGGCTGATCGCAGGCATCGCCGGTGAAATCCAACTCAGCTGTACGACGTACGAGCTGATCAAGGATCGGTTTCAGTGCAAAGTCCGCGGCAAGATTGCGGTCAAGGGCAAGGGCGAGATGGTGACGTACCTTCTGGAGAGAGAGGTACGACAGATTTCCGGTTCCCGGGGGAGATGAGGGAGGGAGCGAGGAAAGGGAGGGAAGGGGGAGAATGTAGGGTGATGTGAGGGCAGGAAGTCCGGGAAGTTGTCCTCCTGTGCAGTTCAACATCGGGGCAGTAGCAACAACAACGTCAAGGCGTGTCCCTTCCAGTTGTGTTTTGACTTGATTCCCCCTCTTGCTGATCGCGACCTCGAAAACCCCCTTCTCGCTGCCGCCGCCTTTCACCCCCTTCTGGTGGGGGCGTTATTTCTTTCTTTCGTGTTATGCCCGCGGCGCAGTGCGGCACTAGCTTGCCAGCAGACTCGCCCTCTGGGCTGTTGGCGGCCGGCGGCGTCGCGGCCATCGCTGGACTGGGTGCCGCGGCAGTCGGCGGCAGCGGCGGCGGCGGCGGTGGTGGTGGTGGTGACGTGATGGATCGGGAAGCCCTCCTGGCCAGTCCTCAGTTCAAGAAGGTAACAGCGTGCGTGCGTGTGCATGTCTGTGTATGTCTGTGCATGTCTGTATATGTCTGTGTATGTCTGTGAGTATGTCTGTGACTGCCTGTGCGTATTTCTGTGTGTGTGTTGATGAGCTGAACCACGAGGAGGTGCTGAGTGTGTTACCTGCGTGTGTTTGTGTATGTGTATGTGTATGTGTATGTGTATGTGTATGTGTATGTGTATGTGTATGTGTATGTGTATGTGTATGTGTATGTGTATGTGTATGTGTATGTGTATGTGTATGTGTATGGCCTCACACCTTGTTTCCAAGGACGCCATCGCTCCTCGTCCACCCGTGTGCGGTCTCCGTACCTTGTACGTCATATGTCGTATCCCTGTGGGTTTATGTGTCGTACGTTCTAGAAGCTGCGGGGTCATCGCGGTGGCTGAAGCCATATCCGGAATGTGAGGCAGGGTATGAATGTGTACGTCTGTCTGTCTGGTGGTCTGTTTGTCTGTCTGTCTGGCATGTCGCCTATGCAGGCCATGGAGCGTTACACCGCCGCACGCAACAGCTTGCTAGCCGAGGAAGAGGAGATGTGCAAGCTGCTTAAAACACTGGACGACGCCACGACGGCATCGCCGACGGCGGAGGAGCTGCCTTTACCGCCGCCGTCGCCGTCGCCGTCGCCGCCGCACCCAGAAAACTCGACGGGCGCGGAAGCGGCGGCGGGCGCGGTCGTTCCTCGTCTTACTGTGGGACTGCCCGCAGTCGCATTCAAACAGACGGTGTTGGGGGGCTGTACGACGTCGGATCTTAAGGTACGGATGAGTTGGAGTTGGGAAGTGGGCTCTACTATTCCCCTAAATCTACCCCTCCTCCCACCGGAAAAAAATCTAAACCTAACTGTAAAAACTACCCCCCCCCAATACCCCAGCTTAAAATATATATATTAAAATAGATATATAGTTAACCCCCAGCTTAAGCAGATGTATATATATACACACATATATATACATACATATACATATACATATACATATACATATACATATACATATATGTATATGTATATGTATGTATATGTATGTATAGATACATATATAGTCTATATATGTACCGAGACCCCAGCTAACCTAACACGAAAAAGCCCTTAAACATATAAGCCAATGTTATAAATCATATGCACGATTTCCGCGATCTCGTCCACCTTTATCTCGCAGGCTCTGACGCTCCACATGTACGAGGAGCTGTCCATGTCTCGCGCCATCATGGCGGCTGCGGAGGAGGAGAAGGCGGCGGGGATGCGGCGGGACATGCTGCTGAAGCTGTACGCGCGAGTGCTTGAGGCGCCGGGGATGTCTCTAAGGGACACTTTTGCGGCCATACTGGAGGCACTGTACAAGGTACGGAAACGAGTACGGCATAGTACGGGACAGTACGGGATAAGCGCGGAATGTGTATAGCTAGGATTTGCTGCACTTGCTGCACCCTGTAGATCCGGCGGTAGTACGACAAGTACGTGGCAAGAGGATGTGCGTGTGTATGTATGTGGAGAGAAGGAAGAAGGGTGGAAATTCAGTAGTGGGCGTTCTGCATTGTCGTAATTTTGTTTATTTGTGCCGCTAGCGCCGTTGCTGCTACTGCTGTTGCGACTGTTAATTCTGTCAACACCGTTGCTGCTGCTGCTACTGCTACTAACGTACCTTGGCGGGGTTGGCGAAACCAGATTATCGAGTGTGACGTCATCAAGCTGTACGTGGTGGACCACGCGAGGGGCCAGCTGTGGCCCGCCACCCGGCATTGCGCCGCGGACGCCAATCGGGTGGGTGCGGACGGCACGGGACGGGGTGGCTGGTGCGACCCGGGGGCCGCAACCAGGGCCCGAGGTAGGGATATAAAGCCATCACGGGGAGGAGGATTCCACGCCGTGTCCAGCCCTAGGAGTGGAGTAGTAGGGTAGGACCCCTTGCCTAAAGACCTAACCCACCCGCCTCCCGCCTCTCCACCTCCTGTGCCATTCAACGACTCAGCCCCTGCACGGACATATCCCCCTGGCCTCATTAGAGGGGTGGTTTGATTTATTCCGGGACGGTATTTCCCCTCCTCAACACCCTTACGCGCAATGTCCGGTTCCCTAAACATACAGACGCTTCCCCTGGAGGGCACTTTGGCTGGCTCCGCAGTACGGCGTGCTCGTGTCGTACGGGTGGATGACGTGTCCAGGGAGGAGGAATTCAACTGGGAGATGGAGGTGAGCGAGCAGGAGGACTGTGGAGGGGGGAGGGGCCAAGCCGCGATGGATTGGAAACCTGTGAACGTAGGGGCCTCACATTACGGCTGTGTGACTTTAGCAGCAGTAGCAGCAGCAGTTTTCACCTTTCTTGCCGTCCTGCCTTGTTATCTCTCTAGCTATGTTCCCTTCCCTCTCCTCCCTTGCCCAACACCCTGCACCACCTCACACCTGGAGGTGATGGGCCCTGGGTCTATCTCCCTCTCAGCTCCCTCCCCCAGCTCCCTCTTCACGACCACCGGATAGCTCTGTCCCACCGCTCCATGTCCATGAATGAACCATGTGTAGGAGCTACCCGCGGGCTACACCTCCAAGTCTGTGATGTGCGTCCCCGTCTTTTCCGCCTCAAGTTATCACGCACCCGCACAACATGCGCTACGTCTGTACAACGGCGCCGGCACGCCGCCGCCGAATTCCTCGGCGCCGTCGGCTGGCGCCGCTGACGTCATTGCCGTACTGGTCATGATTAACCGGTGGACCACCTGGAGGGAAGCGGGAGCGGAGGAGGGCGAGCGGCGCATCGTGCCATTCGCGGCTGCCGATGAGGCGTCGGTTCGCGATGCGGCGGCGTCGGTTGGGCTCTTGCTGATGCGGCGGCGTGGTGAGATGCTGTTGGCGTCGGCGGTGTCACCGAATTGCCTGGCAGGGGCGTCGTTCAGTGTGGCGGCCCTGCCGGCGAGTGTGGCGCGACGGCGACTGCGGACTGTGGCCCGACGGAGCTCCGTCGCGCTCCTGGACACGAGGGGCAATTTGTGGGCCATGAAACAGGAGGAGCTGTTGGGGTGAGTTTGAATTTCAAATTCAAATTTCAAATTCAATTTTTGATTTCGCTTGAAAGTTGGCGGGTGATTCCCGTCCCGCGTTTTTCTTTTCCGACTGGTGTACAGGAAGAATATAATAATGATAATAATAATATGGTTTTCTCCGTTATTGGATGATCGAAAATTTTTGCTGTTTTCTTTTGTCCGTTCTCAATGCAGGCAAGCTCGGGACGTGCTGTTGGCGCTGCAGCGGCGGGTGGCGCCCAGTGCGCTGTCGGTGCTGGGCGCAGCAGGCGACGAGGCGATGGTGTCGTACCTTGTACGGATAGCGGACGAGCAGGGTGCTGGACGGTTCTTCAACTTGGCGCACTCCGTGGGTGTGCTGCAGGTGGGTCTGTTGTGGGGGAGGGGGAGGGGGAAAATGCCGCTTTTTCGTCGTACATCATGTGTTTCAACCCCTCTTCAAATACCCCTCTTAATCTCTACTCCTTCTTTCTCTCTGTCTGTCTGTCTGTCTGTCTGTTTGTCTGTCTCTTTCCGCCGACGACGCAACCGAGCGGCTGAAAATGGCCCCTTCCTTCCCCCGTATGTGCACCCCGTGCTGATGACCTCACGCCTGAGAAACCCTAAAACCCTAAAACCCCAAAGTACCAATCCCTCCACCCCTGTGCATGTCGCACACCCCCTCGTTCTGAGCCCCCTTTACCGTACACTCACGAAGCCGTTATTGCTTGACACTGCCGTTGCTACTGCCGCTGCTGCTGCTGTGGCGGCGGCGGCGGTCGTCGTTGCCGCTGCTGACGTCAGGGTATCTACCTCACTCTCCGAGCCCACACGGACCTGGCGGCAGCGCTGGGACCTCACCACCTTCTGGCGCTAGTGCTGGCGGCGTCGCTACTCAATATCGACCGCGACGGCGAGTTCCTTCCTGCCGTACCGACGGCGGGTGCGCCGCTGAGCATTGGCGCCTGTGCCGCCGTCTCCGGCGGCGCCGTCAGCAGGACATCGCGGACGCGGCCCACCGCCGGGGGCAGCGCCGGCGTCGCTGCGGCAGTAGGGAACCTGGGCCTTACGCCGACGCCATCAAGCAGCGCGCTGAACGCGTCGTCGCCGCAGACTTCACTACCGCCAACGCTGACGCCGCCGCCAGGTCGGCATCAGCGTCAGATGCAACAAGCAGCTCAACAGGTGGCGGAGGTTCACCGGGAGCCGCCGTTACCGGTGCAGTTGCCGCCACCGCTCAGCACCCGAGACCTCGCTCAGGCGACGGCGACGGCAGCAGGGCTGCGAAAGTCGGAACCAGGAATTGCGGCGGCAGCGACGGCGGTGGCGGCGGCGACGACGGCGTCGGTGACGGCGGCGGCGACGGACAGCTTTACGTCATGGCAACGGAGCGCACCGCCGCCGCCGGCCACCTCCGCCTTTGCGGTTCCGGTCGCAGTGGATCCTTCCGTATCTTCGTTGAGAGGATGGAGCGGTAAAAGCTTTCCATCTGAGCCGCCGTCGCCGTCGTTGCTTCCATTGCCGGCAGCGGCATCAGC